ACACAAAGACTTGGCTGGCGAAGACATAATGGGTCAACGCAGCAATACGGAGTCCAAGCTCCTACAAGTGCAAATCAACCCGGAGACCTGAGAAGGCCTGGCCCAGGAAGGACTGGTCTGGAGAAGAGCAGTGATGTCTAGCGCAGCAATCTGTGAACCGAGTAGGATCGCCGCTGCCAAAAGTCGACTTGCAGGTCAGAAGCGTCTCGGATCCACGATGTCAATGTCAAATCTACCCACACTGCTAGCAAGCATTCCACGCGCGAATTGTCGGGCATCTCCGGACTCAATGCAGCATCAACCGAGCATCATTACAATTTGCAATGTGGGAGCCTGCACTCCGTACTTTTGCGTTGACCCATCGTCTCTTCGCCAGTCACGTCTTTGTGTACTCTCACGTGATAAACGCCCCCGCACCTTCTTGCTCAACCGCTGCGAGAAGCCCGTGATCTCCCGCTTTTCCCGCACTCTCGGTCGACTCACGTCCTGAGGCGCATGTTACTTCGAACCAATTGATGCGCGCCGCACCACCTGATTGGCTAAGGACACACTACGCACGCAGAGCTTCGCAGCAGCGGACACACCTGGCGTACAAACGCAACTGGCTCGTAACACACCCTTTGTACCGTTCATTTGCCGGCAGTAACACTCTGTCCACCGACACCGTCTTCCCTGACTTGTGATTTGGGGATGCTTCTGTTGTCGATACATCAAGCTGCGATAGCAACACCCCTATCGCCATGAAGATCACCCCAACCACCGGTGATCACACTCCCAATGCACCATCGTTCTCTGTCAACAGCACCATCTTTCTTGCGTTCACAACTGAAGCTATCTTACATGCGTCGACCAGTGCGGTTTGTCGTTCGTAGGTCCTCGCGATTAGGCACTCCAGACTGAACTTTTCAAGTACAAAATCCAGTCAGTCACTCTTCCATGCCGGCACGAACATGCACAAGCGCGTAAACAGCACACCGCTGTTCACACGCTCCCGAACTGAGGCTTTGCTCCACCACACAGTCGGCTCACGGCAACCGGCACTGTGTAACGAATAAATTAGTTCTACTAGCCCACTGGCTTCTCCTATGGGACGGAACGCAAGTCAATTGAATATTATTGGCCGCCACAAGTTCACCGCAATACCAGTGTGCCGAACTAACACCTGAAAATGACCATTTCCAGAACCAACAACTGCCCATCCGTCAGTTCAACCACCATTGATTGTTCGGATAATATCCGCCGACTTCAAGAACAAAAATTGGCAAGACTGTCTTGTAATGCCGCGTAAAGTTCCACTATCTTACGGAATTGGTGGTTAACGAGTGTAAATGAATATGTCATTGTGTCGAAAGTGACCAAAGAAGATTACAGTAAAGCCACTTATAGTTGTTTTAATGAGCTAAATAGAATAAACTCCATCAACATAAACTCCTGTTGCTCGGGCAACTGACGCTTATTGATGGAAATTTGACCAAACACCCTAAAAATACTACCACCAGAAGCAACAACTGCCCATCCACCAGCTCAATCACCATTGATATTAGCTTGTTCGGAAAATACCGGCCGACTTCAGGAACAAAAGTTTATTCTTGAAAAATATGATACTAGGTAGGTTAAAGTTAAGCAAGGTATGATCTCTGAACGCTTATGCATCCCTGCCATCGACTTACAGGATGATGAATGTGTGGGATACGATTTGGTCCGACCGGATAGTAGAAGATGAACGTATTCCAATGGTTATAAGCTAGTAGATAGAATAAGGCGTGGAAGGCCAGAGTTTTAGGGATAATTTACTAAGGTGTAACAAGCGTAAAATGTAAGCAATAGGCAAGTGACTCCCAGACAAGTGCAGTCCAGACAACTACAACCGAACAGTAGATCGTCGGTTCTGGGAGTGTCTGAGAATAAGCAGTCGC